CCATCACCTTTCCCGATTTTATGTTTCCTTTATTCCTTTCTCCTCCCCTCTTTTCTTCTTCCTGTTCTTCCTCTTGCTTCTCTCCTTCCACTTCATTCTCTCTTTTTTTCCCTGTCTCCTCGCTTTTCCTTCCTCGCCTTCCTTCTTCTCTCCTCTCTTTCCTCCTTACCTTTCTTCTGTTCCACCCTCTCTCCTTTTTTCATCTCCCTTTACCTCCCCTTCTCCCCTTTTCTAAGCTTTCATCTTTTCCACTGCCATTCCCTTCTTCCTCTACTTTCCTCACTTTTCCGTCCTCTCCCCTCCTTCCTTTGCCTCCCCTTCCCTTTCCTTCTCCTTCCCCTTCCCCTCCCTTCTTCCCCCTTCCCCCTTCCCCGCCCCCTTCCTTCTTCCTCCTCCTTGCCCTTCCCCCTTTTTCCCTACCCCCCTTTCTCCTCCCATTTCCATCGTCCTTTGGCATTAGCCCCGAGTCCTTCCCATGTATTTGTCACGGGCGTCTTCGTCTGGCCAATCCGTCTGTCAAGAGCTTCGAAACCACTCTTGTCGCCTTGACCGTGTTCACGACCTTTTCCTCTTTTCTTTGTTTTTCGATTTCTTTCTTTCCTTTTTTACTTTTTTCTTTTCATTGAATTGTGCTTTCTTTCTTTTTTCTTTTTTTTTTTTTTCTTCTTTCTTCTTCTTTCTTCTTCTCTCTTTCTCCTCCTCCTCCTCCTCTCCTCCTCCTCCTTCCTCCTCCTCCTCCTCCCCTCCTCCTCCTCCTCCTCCTCTCCCTCCTCCTCCTTCCTCCTCCTCCCTCCTCCTTCTCTCCCCCTTCCTCCTCCTTCCCCTTCCCTCTTCCCTCCCCTTCTCCTTCCCCTATCCTCCCCCCCTTCCTTCTCTTCGTCCTCCTCTTTCCCTTTCCTTCCCCTCCCCCTCCCCTCTCCTCCTCCTCCTCTCCTCCTCCTCCTCTCCTCCTCCCTCCTCCTCCTCCTCCTCCCCCTTCCTCCCTCTCCCCATCCCGTCTCCCTTCCTTCTCCTCCTCCTCCTCTTTTTCTTTATCTTCTCTTCCTCCTCTTCGTTTGTCTCTTCATCTTCTCTTCCTCCCGTTCGTCTTTCTCTCCACCTTCTCTTCCTCCCCTTCGTCTTTCTCTTCACCTTCTCTTCCTCCCCTTCGTCTCTCTCTTCACCTTCTCTTCCTCCTCCGCCTCCCTGCCTTCTCTCCCTCCTTCCCTTCGGTCCGCTCTCCTCACACATCGTTCCCATCATCTCCATTGTGAACGTCCTCTTCATTTTATCCCAACGCTCCTGGAATTTTACCTTTCTTTGTTTCCTTCCTTCCTTTCACCCTCCCTTCCGCTTCCTGGTCCTTCCTTCCTTTCACCCTCCCTCCTGCTCTCCGTTTCATTCTCTTTCCTTTCTCTCTTACTCTCCTTCTTACCTTCCTATTTCCATTTCACAAGTTGTTCTTCCATCTCTCTTCCCTCTTTCCTCTCTTTTTCTCTTGTGTTCCTCTCCTCCTCTCCCCTTCTCTCTCGCCACTCCGTGTCTCCCTCCTTCACATCCTCTTTCATCCTTCTCTCGCCTTTCTACCTCCCTCACTTTCTCTTCCCCCTTCTCCTTTTCTAACTCCCTCGTTCCTTTCTCCCCTTCCTCACACTCTTTCCTCTCCTCCCTCTCCTCCCCTTCTACCCTCATTTCCTCTCCTCTCCTCCCTCTCCCTCTTCCACCCTCACTTCCTCCTCCTCTCCCCCCTTCCACCCTCCTCTTCCTCTCCCTCCTCCCTCTCCCACCTTCCACCCTCACTTCCTCCTCCCTCTCCCCCTCATCCTCACTTTCCTCCTCCTTCTCCCCCCTTCCACCCCTTCTTCCTCTTCCCTCTCCCCCCTTCCCACCCTCACTTCCTCCTCCCTCTCCCCCTTCCACCCTCTCTTCCTCTTCCCTGTCTCCTTCCCTCCTTTCCTCCCTCCCTCTCACCTCTCTCCCTCCTTCTCTCCAAGCAATAAATTCCCTCCCCGTAATGCACCGAAGCCGTGTTTTAGCATCCAAGTTCTCCCTCGTAGCCTTCTCGCTCTGGACAAGAGGACTTCGTGTGCCGTGTGATGTTTGCTTTATTTGTACTCTTTTTTTCTCTCTGTCTTGTGTTTTCCTTGCTTTTTTAATCTCTTTTTT